AAAATGCTCACCCCTGTGAGAAAAAAAAGCAGCAAAAAAAAAAAAAAAGAGCAAAAGCAAAGTCTTTACCTCTTGGTCTACACGCAGACAAGGGTATTTCTGTCTACAGCGACACTGAACGAAAAAGCCTGTATTTGGGGGTAAAAAGCACAGCTATAGTAAGTGCTAATGTGTATTTTTGATTTAAAGTATTTCCCTATTTTATCATGGTTACTAGAATAGTAGTATAGACAGAAGTATATAACTAATGATTGAAAATGCATATATTCATTTCTTTGAAAGGAAAAAGCATAACTGGTAGTGATATAATTTCTTTATCACCCCCACCTCAAAGGTTTGGAGACAAACTGCAGCGAGTGAAAATATGACGTAGACGTTCTTTTGTATTTTTTAAAACCAAAGTTTGGTTTTACGTTAAGTGGAATTTAGTTGCCTTTCCTCGATAGTTACAAGAACTTTTCAGCTCGAGCTGGAAAGGTTTTGCACATCTTGCATGACTTTTTTGGGATTACTGTACCTGTAGCTACCAGTTTCTTCATCATTCTGCTAGTCTTCAGTTCTCCTCTATGGCGTTAGTTCTCATCTATGGCATTAGAAGTGCTGTAAAGGTATTTTTTTCCAGCCGTGAACAGGCCACACTGATTTTAATGCTCTTATATGAACACTGAGGCTTTTTGAGTTTTTACATTTTCCACTCCTTGCCCCAGAAGCAACGTCCTTTCAGCAAACAGGGGAAGGGCTGGAGGCCAGCGTTCCTCTTTGGCGAGTCCTCCAAGAAGGGCCGCCGAGACTTTCAGAGCTTGAGCTTCTTCTTTTCTAGCGTTAGACTGTGAAGAGATGACCTTGGCTTCTTCTGTCCATTCCGTTTGCTGTTGAACCGTGTTTCCGAGTCCCACCCCCATTGGCAAATGATTTCGGCGTCTGCATTTTAAGCGGCCAGGCTCTAATGCCGTCAGCCCCCCAGCTCTGGGTACTGGGACACCTCCACAGGCGACTCTTCTTACTTCTCCTCCCCCTCACTCCTCGTTGAATTTTTCTTTCACTTGGGCTTGTTCCTATTTGCAGCTCATGGTTTGAGACTTGAAATAAACCCGCGGTGGTGCAGCAGTGAGATACACGGCAGGCTGGTGAGGGAGTTGGGAGCGTGCTAGTAATCGGTTTCACATTCGGTTGTCACAATTTACTGTATTTTTTACTTATTTTCTGTTACAGTTTTGCTAATTTATCAGATGGTCCAAATGTTTTGACATAACTATTTCAGTTTGCATTATTTATTTATGATGCTTTTTGTCATTGTCTTTTATACATTTGGGATTATAAATTATGTACATGTTAAAATTAGCATCTCAAAGAAGTCTGTTACCCATGGTCTAAAAAGCATTTGGTTTATATTTTCACGGATTTTATTCCCAGTTTACTGGATTGGATGATTTTTTTTTTAAGTATGTAACCAATCATAATGCAACACCCCCCCCCCCGATAATTAAATGTGTTCTATTTAATAACATCCTTGTAGCATAGATACTGTATCACTATCGACAGATTTCTTAGAAATGCTGCTATCTCTATTTAACTAACATTTTGTTCAGTTTTGCCTCCAGTGGAAGCAGAAAGGGTTTTTTCAGCTGTTAAATCCAAAATCAATATAATTTATTTATGTAAAAAAAAAATCACGATTGATATATTTTTGAACCTTTTAAGTACTAACTTTCTTTTTATTCAGTAGAAGAACATGTACTTGCCCTAAATCCTTAAAATACAAATGCTATAAAACTTCATATATCTTCAAAGCCTTACTGTGAATGGATGCAGAAATCTCTTCCGAGTCCATTTCTTGTTACGGGATGGTTTTTCCAGGGTTACACGTGTAAGGAACAGGGTTTAAAGTGAAATTTATTTAATTAGCCAGCATGCTCTATACCTTGTTCTTCCTTATCAGACATGTATGCTACGTCTCTGGGTGTTTAGGCTTCTCTTTGACTGCTACTTTGTGACCCTTTTGCAACCCGATATACTCTGTGGATTATTTAGACTGTAAGGCGTAAGTGGCTTCTTCTTATTTTCCATCATATCCAAAACAAATGCCAAATTTTCACCGGTTTTCATGGCTACTCACACAAACATACATTCTTCACCGAATGTGCTAACAAAATAAACTGTCTGTGCTCTTGAACATGGATAAAAAGAAAAAGATTTAAAAGTCAGATTTTTATTTTTTTAATTTAGTGACTAGATGATGCTTATCTTTCAGACTTGGCAGAGCCTTGCTACAGATGTATATAATTTTTTTCAGCAAATATATGTGAATGTTTAATTCACCTGACTCAGTGATAAACGTTACTTGCCTTTTTCTCAGCACGAATCCGTTGAGAAGCTGTCGAACCCAGCGGACTTCTCCCTTCTTTGGGGTCGCTCTTCGTGCACCGTGAGACGGTGTTGCTCTGGGGCAGGGCTGCTCGCAGCTGGCTCGCCGGCTTCTCCTGCCACGGAAGGAGGTTACCGGGCTGCATCCCCCCGCTGCGGCCAGCGGCTCCTTCAGCCAGCGCCGTGTGGGTTAACTCGCCGTGCCCTGGGGGTTAACTCAACTCGCCGTGCCCTGTGGGTTAACTCAACTCTCCATGCTGTGTGGGTTAACTTGCCGTGCCGTGTGGGTTAACTCAACTCGCTGTGCCGTGTGGGTTAACTCGCTGTGCCCTGTGGGTTAACTCAACTCTCCGTGCCGTGTGGGTTAACTCGCCGTGCCCTGTGGGTTAACTCAACTCTCTGTGCTGTGTGGGTTAACTCGCCGTGCCATGTGGGTTAACTCAACTCCCTGTGCCGTGTGGGTTAACTCGCCATGCCGTGTGGGTTAACTCAACTCTCCGTGCCGTGTGGGTTAACTCGCCATGCCCTGTGGGTTAACTCAATTCTCCATGCTGTGTGGGTTAACTTGCCGTGCTGTGTGGGTTAACTCAACTCTCCGTGCCGTGTGGGTTAACTCGCCGTGCCCTGTGGGTTAACTCAACGCACCGTGCCCTGTGGGTTAACTCAACTCTCCGTGCCATGTGGGTTAACTCAACTCGCCGTGCCGTGTGGGTTAACTCGCCGTGCCATGTGGGTTAACTCGACTTGCCGTGCCATGTGGGTTAACTCGCTGTGCCCCGTGGGTTAACTCAACTCTCCGTGCCGTGTGGGTTAACTCG